TCTTTGTATGTATACATTATGTAATTATTATGTATTCAATAGAAAAATTAAAATGAATTGAATAAATAGTGTCCACATTATAATTTTGCTTCATAATACAGTTTAGTAAACTTAACATAACAAATCATTCTGAAGAAGGGATGGCAAAGTCATGACACATTCCTAAACTTTGCTTTTATTGATTTAATTCATTCATAGTTGATTTAACATATTACCCTGAGGGAAATGTAATACCTGAACTACAGCCACATTAATATCGCCTAAAGCCTGATATGCTTAGTATTGCAATCTATCTTTCAGATATTCATACATTTAATCAGAATAGTATACATTTGTGCCGCGGCAGGACTTGAACCTCTGACCTTGTGATCCACATATCAACTCGACCACGACACCTCTAACCAATCAAACTCCACAATTCAGTTATAGGCTCTCTTAAACCTCACTGATAATGATAAACAAGTAATTAAATCTGTTTTTTGATGGTAAAAATAACAATTCAAGGAATTTGTAATGATGAGATTGTTGGTTCCATCAATAAAAACTTTGGACTCCATCTCTTCTCCTTCTGCAAGTGATGTCATATTGAAACGATGAAATCTGTTTGCTCTAAGACATTGTTATCAAGGCTTGACCTAAAAACAGAAACTCCTCGAAAGTGATCCCAACAAGACAATGAGATCCCTGATGCTCATTAACATACATCAATGAGGTCTAATCTATCACAACCATTTCAATTTCCACAGACACACAACAGGGAAGCTATTTGGGAGGGTTTATAATTGTAGTTATCATTATATGTATGACGTCTATATGACCAAGTAGTACTTTAGGGGCAGTCACTGTTCCAAAATGACCAACCTAGCACCTGTACCATCTTGATACTGGTGAGAAACCTTTCTCTCACATTCCCTGAACATACCCCCTCGAGAGGTTTGTCATTGCTTCCACCGCCATAGCCATTCTGTCATCCTCTAAACCAGGATAACGGTTTCTCATTTCCTCTTCACTGCTCTTCTCCTTCTCTGTAGATTGAGGTGAAAGGTCATAACGAGGTTTCTTGGGAGTTCTTTCTCCACTGCTACTCTCATCCTCCTCATCAACACTCCTTAGCTGCTCAATGGGGAAGAAAGCAGTCTGGTGATCATTTCTCACAGTACCCTGGTTCATTTCATGATGGTATTGCACTTGTGAGAGGGGTTGTCCACCATTCTCCAATGTCACCTTCGACCCAGGCTTTCTCATAAACTGGATGTTCTTAGTGACGGGAGTGCTCCTAATAACCTCCTTCCCGTGTGAACCAAGCTGTATGATGTCATACAAGCTTGTCTCACCCGGCTCAGCTGATTGAATCCTGCCTTCGCTATCAGCTGATAGAATCCTGCCTTCGCTATCACCTGATTCAATCCTTCCTTCGCGATCACCTGATTGGATCCTTCCCTCGCGATCACCTGACTGGATCCTTCCTTCGCGATCACCTGATTGAATCCTTCCCTCGCGATCACCTGATTGAATTCTTCCCTCGCGATCACCTGATTGGATCCTTCCCTCGCTATCACCGATAGAATCATTCAAATCTTCCACGTCAAAGACTCTCCTAGTAGATCCCTCAGGATTCTTAAGATCCAGCGTACAATCCACAATGATTATTGGTCCCTGAGCACCCTCTAGATACTGCACCTGACTCGGCTCAAAGTCTACCTTCTCAGGAGAACTGGTCTTTCGTTGCTTGGTGCTTAGTTTCCTTGGTGATTTGCGTTTCTTTGATGACTAAACAGAGGAAAATGAAAGGGGAAGTTAAGTGAGGTAAATGGCAGGGGAGAAATACTCTTTAAAGTCTAAACTTTCAATATTAGCCACATCACTTAATGATAGGACATACCAGGCAAACTTTTGATATACCGGTAGCCATGTGATGTTTCGATGTCGAATGTAGTATTTTGATATCTTATTTCATTGGTTCACAAAACTTCACATCACAGCATTCTGCATTATCCTTTGGAATTCTTTTAGGAGTAGGGACATTTTTACTTGCAATTCTTTTTACATTTTGATTTGGGTGTAATAGTGTGTTCAGACCATATTTTAGGTCATAACATCTGATTTCATACAATCATAGTCGGTGCATCCTAGTTAAGTTTGGTCCTGATAGAATACATGTGCAACTCATCATCACTTGATAGTTTTACTTGTGCTGTCCCAAAACTCTAGAATAATTTACCATTTGAAGTCAGGAAATCACCATCTGTAAATATATATTTAAATAAAAACTGAAAGCACATCTTTTCAATTAATTGTAAATCTAAGCATATTAGGACCTCTTGTAGCGCAGTAGAATATGTACTTAATGTTGGATAGTTTCTGCACTCTATAAATGTATTAAGCAAATAACTACCGTTGGTGAAGGTGATGGGACAAACTATCACTTCCGAGGCGATCTGGATGTAGCTATCTTTCTGAAGCGAAGCTTAGGAAAGATAGCGTATACATTTTGATCGACGAGGAAGTGATAGTTTGCCATCGCCTGAAACCAAAAGGTGATTATTTGCTTTATATTCCACATCTAAAACAATTTAACTACAAAAAGAAAAGGACGTGTATGCTTCTACATAAAAGACAACATGCCAAAATTCACACCAAACAAGTTAAACAGTAGTTTAACCCAACCCCTTGAGGGTACGGTGCGCGCATGTGTTTGTTTTAATTGCGCTCATTGGTAATGCGCGCTTAATTCCACCTGTTTTAGTGCGCTTTTGGATAATCTTCAGTGAAAGTGTGTTGCCCTTTGTAGATAGTACCTCTATCTTCAGTGAAAGTGTGTTGCACTGTGTAGATAGTAGTACTATCTACACAGTGTAATGAACTTTTTGCTTCTCCCATCAATAATGGGCAATCTATCTTTCATCACGTGATTTACTTTTGACCAATCGTAGAGCAAGATTCTTAGTATGTGGAATATAATATTATTATAGTTGAAAGGGAGGTAAAGATATGTACAAATAAATGAATGAATTCCTTTGTGGCTCTGAGCAGACGACCTTAAACTCACCTTTCCCTTCTCAGCTTTCTGACTGCTAGACGACTGGGCTCTGCCATGTTCTTCCTCTTGGATAGTCATTAGGGGTGTGGTGATGGGCGTGGCAGTGGGGTGGGCAGTGGGCGGGGCAGTGGGTGGGGCAGTGGGCGGGGCATTGGTGGTAGTATCTTGTAGGATCTGTTGAGTTAGCTCAATGCTCTCGTATCTTACCGTCTGTAGTCTCAAGAAACCATCTTCATGCTCTTTATACCTGCATGTCAACATTCAAAAAGACAACTCAACAGGTTACTTCTAGGAAGGACTAAACTGACATATCACTTTGCCTTATACTGAACTTCACATGTGCCATTTCATGTACAAATTATCTTAAAGCCCCACTGTCCTACTTGTAGCTACTTGCTCCCTCTGTATAGAAAACTTCCCAAATCGGTGCCTGTTGGTCCCCCATGATCCTCTTTTTCTTATGTTAGTTGAGAGCTGAGTTAATGAGATAGCCACCTGTCAGTGACCTCGCTGTGTGGTCTAATCCCTTCTGGCCCAGTAGTATTAACGGTCTTTAAAACAGCCTTTTCAATTAAAGCTTTATAGCCATTCAGAGAATTGTTTTAAAACAGCCTTTCAGATTCAAGGTTAGCAATTTGGGGGATTGTTTCATAGTCAAAGCGGGCTCAAATATTTTCCACAGGAATAAACCTGGCTTGTAAATTCATGTACCAATTTTTGTTTCAAGGAGGACTAAATAAATGAGACTTTGTCTAAGTTCAAATAGTTGAAGATCATGTGATCTTTGACCTTTAAAACGAAAAACTAATCAGAATCAAGTACCTAAATCAGACATGACTTGAATCAATGTTTATCTTAAAAGTGATTGGCAGGGATATGACAGTATAAAAAATAGAATCTGACCTGAATCTGACGTGACCTGAAGGCCATTTGAAGCGATGTTTGTCTTTGAGATGATTGGTTAAGACATGACCTCTTGAGAACTTGGACTGACAGACATGACACATGTAACGCTTCTCATCCACGTCCTGTATAAAGCAAAGAACAAAATTGAAGAGACACAGGTAAGAATACAATGGTAATAAGAACAAATATCATAATATCTACAAGTAATAGACCGATTGGGACTGCCTCAATGTACTGTCACATGCTTGATGCTGACAGGCATACTATGTGATCTTGTGCAAAGTATGCTGAAGACAACTTCATATCAAATGAATTATTCATGGTCCTTAGGATAGGTTCAAATATGTTGCGTTTTTGGTAAAAATCTAAATGTTTAGTGTCTTTGCTGTGAAGGTACAATTCTCAATGTCAAAGGAATAATAATAATATTGCGCTTTTATATAGCGCCCAATACATCGAAACAACAATGTGTCTACGCACTTTACATATTTATTATTACCCCGGTCATCAGATTCAGGCTTACCCATACACAATGTATGCATGTAGTCTTCACTCCCTGTGGAGCATTCCAGCCAGTCGCCATTTTACAAGCGCACACTTGCTCATCCAACAACATTAACTTCGCATCCTACCACGTACTCATTTAACACTTGGGTGGAGAGTGGCAAATGTAGATTAACGTCTTGCCAAAGGACATTAGTGCTGCAGCGGAACTCAAAGCCCTTACCTTGTGATCTGCAGTCGGGTGACTAATCCACTAGACCACAACACCTCTACCAGTAAGGAATGACAACTTCTGAAATGTGTTTTGAGTGTGCTGAGTGTCTTTGCTGTGAAGGTACAATTCTCAATGTCACAGGAATACTTACTGAATGACACCTCCTGAAATGAGTTCTCAGTGTACTGAGTGTCTTTGCTGTGAAGGTACAGCTCTCAATGTCACAGGAATACTTACTAAATGACACCTTCTGAAATGTGTTCTGAGTGTACTGAGTGTCTTTGCTGTGAACGTACAGCTCTCAATGTCACATGAATACTAACTAAATGACACCTTCTAAAATGTGTTCTGAGTGAACTGATTGTCTTTGCTGTGAACGTACAGCTCTCAATGTCACAGGAATACTAACTGAATGACACCTTCTAAAATGTGTTCTGAGTCTTTGCTGTGAAGGTACAGCTCTAAACATCACAGGAATACTAACTGAATGACACCTTCTAAAATGTGTTCTGAGTGTCTTTGCTGTGAAGGTACAGCTCTAAACATCACAGGAATACTTACTGAATGACACCTTCTGAAATGTGTTCTGAGTGTGCTAAGTGTCTTTGCTGTGAAGGTACAGCTCTCAATGTCACAGGAATACGCATCCCCAGCATTATGGCTCTCCATGTGTCGCCTCATATCTGTCCTAGTCTTGGCTCTGTCAAGATCAAAAGGGAAATATTCAAGTTCAAAGGTCATCATAACACAGGAACTATACCATCATTACAAGAAGCACCTAATCAAAGTAGCAGAGCAAGAGAGAGATATATGTACAGATGAAAAACTATGACATATATTTCAATTATTGAAGAAAAGAAAATAACTGTCATTTAGCATACCGTAAATAACGTTGTATAAACCGCCCTCGTGTATTAACCGCACCCCTCTTTTTCGCCCTTAAAAAAAAAAAAAAAAAAAAAATTTTTTTTTTTTTTTTTTTTTTTGCCGAGATTTTTTTTTTTTTTGTGTAAGATCATTACGGTACTGTAAATTAAAAAACAGTAGGGACCTAGGATAGAACCTTGTGGTACACCATGTAATAGAAGAAAAATTGGAGGAATTATTATTATAAACTACATATTGAGATCTATCAGAAAGATTACATTCAAACCAAGATGACAGACAAATTTGAGTGTTGTTCTAGTTTCCGAGTGGTGAGTCAACACACCGATTACCGAGCTGGGAGACATTGCCAGGCATAGCGCCAGGTGGAGGGGCATAAATTGAAACTTTAAAAAAAAAAAAAAAAAAAAAATTTTTTTTTTTTTTTTTTTTGGTGTACCGTGTATAAACCGCACCCCCGACTTTGAAATTTTTTCGGCGGCAAAAAAGTGCGGTTTATACACCGTTATATACGGTAATTCAAAGCCAAAAGTTTGATTTCCTCCAAAATATCAAAATAGAAAGTATTCCAGCATTTGATCGTTTGTGACTAGATAATATATAAAACAGAGTCACTACTACTATGACATATCACAGTCTTTTCTACACCATACAAGTAATCTGAAAGGAAATCAATCGCCCTAGAAATGAAAACAAGAGCTAATTTATTTTAAATAAAATTAAAAATCCTTATTTTTCGCCCAGTAATGAAGCAAGCACTGTACATTTTTTAAATGAAAATGGTCTGCATTATCCCTGGAGATGGGAAATAATTTAAAAACACTAAATCTAATTCATTCTTGTTCCTCTTCACCCCTTGGATTCAGAAGAGCGTTAAATCATTTAACCCAGAGTTATCACCCTTCCTCCTCCTCCAAACAAGATGATATAAACACATAGAAAGACTTGAGGAGGCGTGATAGCTCAGTCGGTAGAGCAGTGGTCTTGTTATCCGGTGACCCGGGTTCGAAACCAAGTCGATGCGCTAGTGCCCTTTGGTAAGGCATTAATCCTCATTACCAGGTCCATCAGAGAGGACCTAAAGCCAACGGCCGTCTGGTTGCTTACTTACAAGCATTTATGCTTTCTTAGCTGTCAGGTAACATAACCACCACTATCACTACCTATCACTACCTAAAAAGGGCGTTAACCCATATGATTTAACACAGAGTTATCACCCTTCCTCCTCCTCCAAACATGATGATATAAATTATATATAAAGACTTACGCATGGTCGCAGAGTTCACAGGTGAAAGGTCGATCTGAGGAATGTCTCCATTGGATATGCTTCTTCAACACAGATGGCGCTGGACACGTCATGTCACAGAAAGGACACTTGTAGTGATTCACTATAAAACAAAAGAAATACAAATATTACAATACAAAGAATGACAATGGATGGATAGTGACTAGTTCTTGTGTCTCACATTAGGCCTAAAAAAAAAGATGATGTATTGCCCTTTGCGACCGACCCCAAAATATTGAAATGTAAAGTCGGCTTAAAAAATAATAAAAAAGGTAACGGTTTTTGAGAGAAAAAAAGTATTAAAGCATTAAAAACTGAATAGTATCAGCCCAAAATGGGAGTAAAAAATATTTAAAAATTAAAAAAAAAAAATCTGACCAATTGACCCACGTTTTGGCACCCAAAGGACAATACAACATCTTTTTTGTTTAGGCCTGAGGATAACACACATGTCTATATGCTTTAGAAATGCCTATTTGAGCTTTGGTTTGATCAGCATCCATTCAGCATGAAGTTGTTTATATCATCAGGTCAGAGCCAGAAGGGTGTTAACTCTGTGTTCAATTATATGCCCTTCTGGTTCCAAACAGACGATATGTTTCATTTGATCTTTTTAATTAACTGTACCATAAATCTAAGCATATCAGGAGCTCTTGTAGCGCAGTAGAATATATACCTAATGTTGGATAGTTTCTGTGCTCTCTAAATGTACTATTATTATTATTATTATTATTATTATTATCATCATCAATCTTATTGAAGATAAGCTTGAGTTCTGGTAATGATAGCAAATAAATTCTCACAGAATCAAACAAATAACTTGTGCCAAACGATTTTGGTAGAAAATGTATAGGGGCTGAGTAATGAGCATACATGTAGGTGGATAAGGAAATCAAGGTAAGTAGGCCCAACACCATGTGCTTAACACAGGTCACACTACCGGTATGTGCAAATGAGAGTTGTTGTTAATATTGAAGATGATTTCCGGCATGTTTATGTGAGTTTGTTTTTACTTTTACTGGTTCAAACAATCAATCACCTGCAGGATAAACAATCCATAATGAATTATAGCCATGTTCTCTCGACATATGATTCCAATACCAGAGCCCAAGATGAGCGTTAAATTTGATTAATATTGCACTATGATTACACTATGAATACAAACAATAAAGAATGGCTACTTAGGATAAGAGGAGGTCAGTCTTACCATGATGTCTCATGTGATCTCTCAGCAATCTCTCAGAAGCAAAGACCTTGGAACAATGTGAACACTGGTAGTTGGGCTCTGAAATAAAAACAGGTGCAGTGTCAGCCATAGTCATTGCCTTTACTCATGAAAGGATATGATAGAATAAGTCATCATCATCATCCCCATCATAGTCACTATCATAAACATAAACACCACCATCATCACTCTCATCATCATCACTCCCATCATCACCATCATCATCATCATCATCATCATTATCATCATCATAATCATCATCCTCATTATCATCATCGTCATCATCATAGTCACTATCATAAACATAAACATCACCATCATCACTCTCATCATCATCACTCCCATCATCATCATCATCATCATCATCATCATCATTATCATCATCATAATCATCATCCTCATTATCATCATCATCATCATCATAGTCACTATCATAAACATAAACATCACCATCATCACTCCCATCATCATCATCATCATCATCATCATCATCATTATCATCATCATAATCATCATCCTCATTATCATCATCATCATCATCATAGTCACTATCATAAACATAAACATCATCACCATCATCATCATCATCACTCCCATCATCACCATCATCATCATCCTCATTATCATCATCATCATCATCATAGTCACTATCATAAACATAAACATCATCACCATCATCATCATCATCATCACTCCCATCATCACCATCATCATCATCATCATCATCATCATCATTATCATCATCATAATCATCATCCTCATTATCATCATCATCATCATCATAGTCACTATCATAAACATAAACATCACCATCATCACTCTCATCATCCTCACTCCCATCATCACCATCAGCAGCAGCATCATCATAATCATCATCACTCTCATCATCACCATCCTCATCATAGTCACTATCATAAACATCATCCTCATCATCATCATAGTCACTATCATAAACATAAACATTGCCATCAACACTCTCATCATCATCATCATCATCACTAATTATTCCAATCACTGTTCATCATTATGAAGAAGAACCAAGAATGAATATTTACCATCTAGTATACCCTGTCGATGAATATGATCAAAGAACTTAGTTCTGTTGCTGAAGAGACCACCACACTGACTGCAACCAAACCGCTTCTCTTGGGAGTGACATCGAAGATGGTCTCGAAGCTTGTATTTATCCTTCGTCTTCACTTGACATTCTGAGAAAATAAATCAAGTCAAATTGATTCCAAATTAAATGAAAAGCAGCAATGTACAGTTGAACCTGTCTGTAGGGACTGCCCAAGATAAACACAAAAAGTGGTCTTTGTAGGCAGGTGGTCCTTGTAGACAGGTTCTTTAGTACATGTGGTGGTGGTTATTTTACCTGACTGCTAAGAAAGCATAAATGCTTGTTAGTAAGCAACCAGACGGCCAACTGCTTTAGGTCCTCCCCGAGGGACCTGGTAATGAGGATTAATGCCTTACCAAAGGGCACTAGCGCATGGACTTGGTTTCGAAACCTGGGTCACCGGATTACGAGACCACTGCTCTACCAACTGAGCTATTGCGCCTTTTAAATGAGAAACCATTTTCAAGGGAAACAAAAAATGTGGTCTTCATAAACAGGTGGTCTTTGTAGACAGGTGGTCACTAAAGCAGCTTTTAACTGTATTACATTCTGAAGAATTGTTAGGTCTCAAAGCATAACAATGTTTTGCACAAAGTGACAAGAAAAGGAGGAAGGGTGAGGAAGGGTTAAACTGGCATTTGACATAGTACTCTACTTCTATTCTGCTACTTGTCAAAGCCTGTTCAGCATTTAGACATAGTATTTTTTGTTCCACCTTTCAGGCATCACATAACTGTTATAAAGTTTGGACACAAATCAAAGTGCACAGTTGAAGGAAAACTTGATATATTGCAGCCCTGTTTTTTTGTTTAAAAAATGTGGATGCTTGAGCCTCCTGAGGCCTATTCCTCGACCAGCCCTAGCCTGTTTATACTTAAAGAACAGTACTGGCTCAAGACATGTGAACACTAAGGCTCTGCATTAACTTTTCCCATTTGGGTCCAGAGTACTTTTTTGTGGTATGTGTGCACCAGACCTTATTGAAATGTAGAACATTTGGAAGTCTGGGCCCGTTGCACAAAACTGACTATTGATGGTAATCCAGGTGTCATTTGTAAGACGCACCTTTTGACCCCCGGGGATGGTGCGTCATGGTTGCGTCATGTTCCCCAAAATCGCGACGCACAGTACCGTCATGGCCGCAAAATGTCCGTCACAATACTGACCCATATGTGCGTCATAGTAAGTCACTTTACCACGTTGCGTCATTTGGTGTGTCAATGGGACCGTCACTTTCTCCAAGCAGAAGTGTTTCTCAAATGTGCGTCATTGGCTAGTCATTTTCATGAAATGGTGTGTCATATGTTTGACTCAAATGTGCGTCGATGGAATGTAATGGTGTGTCACTTTCTGTGACGGAAGGTGCGTCATGGTATCAAAATGTACGACTCACATCGGTACAATGACGCACCATTCCCGGGGGTCAAGAGGTGCGTCTTACAAATGACAAGTGCATAACTCTGCCATCAATGGTAACTACCATGGAAACTTTCATTTTGATTGGCTGTTGAGCCCTGTTACCATGGTAGTTACCATTGATGACAAAGTTAATATCAATGGTAAGTTTTATGCAACAGGGCCCTGGAGTGAAGTATCAGGGGTGTCACAGCATTGTGCGCTCTGTAAACATTGTCAGTTTCATGTTATGCCTACAGGTAGATATAAATAAACAGCAAACAAGCCTATTTTCTGACCCAAGATACAAATCCATCTTTTTGGACATATCGATCATCTTCAGAGCGAAAAGGTCGTTATCCTGTGTTAAAATCCTTCTAGCTCTGAGCATAGAGGTGTCGTGGTCGAGTCGATGTGTCACCGGACCGTGGATCATAAGGTCCATGGTTCGAGTCCCGCAGCGGCACTAATGTCCTTTGGCAAGACATTAATCAACATTTGCCACACTCGACCCAGGTGATGTAAATGTCTTCCTAATAGGATTATTTCTTGAAATGCACTGTGCATTGATAACGGCTGCTGGAGCTAAAGCTAGGGTAATAATTATGTAATTTATGTAAAGGGCACCGATATGTCTTACGACAGGAATTGTGCTATATAAGTGGTACATATTATTATTATACAGTAAGCTTGTGTTCATACCCATTTGGGTTTAAGCACACAATACAAACAAAAAAAGACCCTGTACACTACTGTAAACGCTGTTATATTTGCGTGATTCATTTTTCGCGCTGAGCGACCCCCAAAACATATTCACTGGTTATTAAATTTGTGTTACACGCAATTTAGCCCTTTCAAAACATGCATAAGAATTCATTCTTATATTTTCGCTCGTTCTAAAATTCGCGCTTGCCGATCTACATGTAAGTGCAAAATCCGCGAAAAATTAATGTACCACAAATATTTCTACTTTGACAGTATATTACCTCTCCATTTACAAGAAAGTATTCCACGCTCAGCTTCCTCCATCTGACTGTGCATCTCAACATGACAATAGAAGTAGTCTGGATTGTTCGTCACAAACTAGGGAAGAAACAACAAAGAACATCTCAACATGACAATAGAAGTACCGGTAGTCTATGAATTGTCTGCGCTGTAGTATTCCCTCACAATGCTTTATTTTTAAAGATGAGAATTGAGAAGTATGTATTGATTATAAAACAGAAATTTTATAAATGGAAAGATACTCATAAAGTCCTATCAGCTCTACTTTGGCACTTTATGCAAGCTGGTTTTGATTTGTAAAAACCCAACAATTTGGAACACTTTAGTTTTCTCGTTCTGTCTCCCTTGCTCCCTGTTGTGTCTCTCTGTTTCTCATTGAGATCTCTCCCCCCCCCCCCTCTCACTCCAGCCCCCTCTCACTCCACTTACCAACTTGACTGAAATAATGCTGAAGGCAAAATGATTATGAAGAAAAACTGTGATAACGCCATTACGCACAGTTTTTCTTCATAATCATTTTGCCTTCGGGGTAGAGTAGAAGAGATGAGATTTAGATGCAACATGCGCAGCGAGAGTTAAAATACGTCTTGCAAGATTTTCAACATGGATTTCGATTTTGACGCATAATTTCCTAAAAAGGGACCATTAAACGGAATATTTCAGTCAAGTTGGTAAGTGGAACCGATGTAGTAAAACCTTCTCCTAATTTTGAATACTCAATGCATCGGATATGCATGAGGTAAAGTGACATTTTGGGGGATTTTCGGGGCATAAAAATATGGCCTAAAATGGCCGTGGCGTTAGCAAGGGAATGTGTATAAACGGTTTCCGTCTCTAAAGAGAGAGCCGACCCTACCCCAATAAGAGGCTAACGAACGAAAGAGACGGAAAATTTGGTCTATGTCTTACCGAGCAATCCTCCCAGCTACACACAAAGGAGCTTGGGACCTCAGGGATGATGTTTCTACTATGAGGCTCCAGCTGACAGGTCTCAATCTTACACCGTTCTCTCTCTACAGTCCCAGCCCACTTAATCCGTGTATGGTACCCGTGGAATAACATGTGTCTCAGAAGCGCTGCTGAGCCCTCATTGGTGACATAGCCACAGTCTATCCATTGGCATTGGTAATCATCTGAAAATGAGAGAAATACCAGGCATGAGAGGAATCAAGATCTGACACATCTATTTTATCTGCAAAGAGCCAAATGGGCATTGATCCTATCGGGATTCGCTCACTATTCACAAGACCACTGCTATTCATGAAGACTGCTATTCATGAGGAACGCTATTCAAAAAGAGCACTGTTCATAAGGACCGCTATTCATAATCAAAGAAGAGGGTCGCTATTCATAATAGGAGAAGTGGGTAACTATTCATAATACGAAAAGAGGGTCGCTATTAACCCTCACAAAATTGAAATGAACAAAAGCAATAAAGAATTCTTTCTCTACAGCCTCATCTCCATTGTGTATAGGTCTTGCCTTTTCACTTTTCACTCATTATTAGTTTGTATATTGTAAGACATGGTTGAGTATTCTTGTTTTTTTAAAGTATCGATTGTAATAGTAAATTCAATATTTTTTGTTTTGTTATGTTAACTGATTTGTACCAAAATACTTTGTTTAGCCGTTTAAGGGTTAGGCTTGACTAGCACATGTGCTATTATCTGGCCCCTTATACCAACCAATAGTTTCTCTTAAATCATTGTATGAAATGTAAGTATTGCTGTTGGTAAATAAATCAAATCAAATCAAATTACCTGTTATAAACACTAACTTCAAATCAAGGTGTATTGAATGAATGCACCCTTCAAAACAAACAGTATTAATGACTGGTGATGCTTACCTGTATCGTTTTCATCTACATCAGCCAGACATTTCTCAATAGAGAGAGAGCCAGCAATGAATTCTTCAGCATGACTCATGAGATGTTCTGTGAAGGACTGTGTCGACATGAAAACTGAACTGCAACTATTCCACTCACATTGTAGCTGTAATTGACGCCTCTGGTTTCTGGGTATAGGAGCCATTCTGCCAAGAACTCAGTAACACCTGAGAGAACAAAATGGAGTTGATTAAAAAAAGCTAAAGTAAGAAACATGCATTTTAATCTAAAAGATCTGTGAGGCTTGATCTAAAGGAAATTATGAGCCCCCACCCCTCCCATAATGTGGCACAGACGAATCCGGGCTAACTCTGCTCAAAGACAACTCGGCCCAGCTGCAAAAACGGTCACTTTTCTCCATTTTACCGTAACCCTAACTCTAACCCTAACCATAACACTAAAACTAACCCAATATCCTGCAGCTTGATTCCCGGACTCGGACTCGGCAGAAGTCATGGCCGGGTAGCCAAGTGGGCTGAATGAATGAAGTACAAATACTCTCATCAATTATTATATCAAGTAGGTCTGTTTATAGAACATTAACTCATGAGACCATGCAAACCTATACGTTAAGATCAGCAAGCGCAAAGTTTAGAACTCGCGATGACATAAGCACGACTTCTTGTGCGTGTTTTGAACGGGCTGAATTGCGTGCAACGCGAATTTAAGAACCAGCAAATATGTTTTGGGTTCGCTCGATCAGCGTGAAAAATTAATCACACAAAAATAACAGCGTTTACAGTAATACAAACTAAACCCATTGTGGTATGTAGGGTCCATGCTAAACCTATAAACACCTACCGTATTTGCCGGCGTAGAGGCGGCAGTATTCTTGGAAGAGAAAATATCAAAAAGTCAGGGTGCGGCCTTTGCGGCGAAAGAGTAAAAAAAAAAAAAAAAACTCAGTTCAAAACCAGCACGAATTTGCACATACGGGACTACTAACGGTACAATAACTATACCACTATGGTACAGGACGTTTCCACATAGGTCTGACCTCTATCTTACCGACAATTTTTATCTCGCATTGTTGACATGAATACGAAAATAACTTCCTAAAACAACATTTGCTGCTATATCTTGATCTAAGTTTGTGCCAATGCATTGCAAAAGTAAAGGAAGGGACCGTTTAACGGAGCTGTCGCGAAGCATTGTTTTCCATTTCATGCCATTTCGCATTACACTGTACATTGTGGTAGGGGTATATCGGACACCAAATCTGCCTGCGATCACTTTTTTAGCTAAACTTCCGGTAACTTATAAGAATATTGATGAATTTGGTATCAGTTTGTAAAAAAAATAGTGTTTTACAAGAAAATTAGAGGTCTAGGTCTACGATTATTTTGTTTTGTCCGTTTTTTTTTTTTTTTTTTTTTTTCCTTTATTTGTTTTTTTTCCCCTCTTTGAAATGTCGAAGTTGGGGTGCGGCCTATGCGGCGCTGCGGCCTTATCGCCGGCAAATACGGTATTGTAATCTTCTTCTTCTTCTTCTACAGACCGCCGTTGGTGTACAGTGCTAGTAAAAGGCTCTAGACCTACAAGAATTCTTATGGGTAGGTCTATACTGCTGCAAGCACTCAGTGTTCGCTGAATTTTGCAAACTCTCTGGGAATGCGCCTTTTTACACTTTATTACGAATTATCAAATTTGCAACGCAAAAACAGAACTAGTCTAGGGTCTAGATCTAGTCTATTTTCGAGAATAAGGCTAAATAAGCATGTGTTATTTTCTCGGCTGATTGGACGGAAACGGTCCAGGCTGTCGACTTGGGTATGTACCTTATCCTTGTGGTACACACTACACCAAAGAAGAAGAAGAAGAAGAAGAAGGAGGATATCAAAACTAGTAGACTTCGTCTTCTATCCTCCCCCCGGCCCCGGCCCGGTTCGCGGCGCGGCACGGCGCGGCCGCCGAAGCTAGCTGCGCTCGGGGAGATTTTCCATTCATTCACCGATTCAGTCAACACAAATTACAGTCACACTCACAGCTACAGCATAACCCAGCACAGGCAACAGGGGGTTGTGTAGTTAATTCCGACAGTTTTAGAAGATGGGTAATTAATATTACAAATCACTGCAGCCGACGGCCTAGAAATAAATGTTTACGAATCCAATTTTACCTGTCTACCTGCTAGCTGCTAGTGCTACCAGTTTCAGTTCAGTGCAGTGTGATCTTTTTTTGCATTAGTCTTTATTAGAGCAGGGTACAATTGATCGATGAGCCAGCTAAATAAATTAGATCTAAATTTATTTGTTTTAAGTATGAGAAATTATTTATCTCCTCTGAAAATTAAATTTAAATGTTATTTAAATTCAAACCACAATAGTGGGACTGATATGTTGAAACGGGAACAATTCAAAGCTAACTCATAATCGTACGTTGCATTTGTGGCTGCGATTGAGGCTACGTGGCGATACCGCGCGTTAATCGTTTTGGATGCAGGAAGAGGTGGTCATTTGTCATCAGTGATTCATGGAGCATAAGTTTCAGCGAGGGAAAAAAACGAAGAAAGAAAACAAAAAACGGCGATAATAGACCGTATAGTTCGTTCTATTTGGTGATATGTTCTGCTGAAACTACATCTGGCTTCACTAAGCGTCAAAAGACTAAAATAAATAAAGTTATTTAAAGGAAAAAAGAAAAAAAAAAATCCATCCTTGCATGTAGCCGCCTTGTAGACTCTGAGGACTTGTACATACATCGAGGTTGGAGTGTTCTCTGAACCTGATCAGATCATCAGAACAAGTCGGTCTTCTTGAAGAGTTACTATTAAGATTCCTTTTATTTACACTGATTCCCATCAAATCTATGTAATATGTTTTGTAGTTTATATAATATATTCACATAAATAAATCAATATAATAATTATATCCTGGATATGATATTGTATAGGGTCAGAAATTGATAACAAAAGGTATAATCGTGACAGATAGGCGAGGTTATTGACCAAAATGTAAATTGTTAATGCACCTTTTTGGTCTAAGTTAATAAACTATATGATGATCAGTCTTCATTCTGTGATAGGTCACAGGTGAATTTTACCTACTTCGTTTAGTACCATTTCCCTCTGATATACTTGCATGGACTCTTATGCCGTCATTTAGGAATGTCTGTTAACCCATCTAATCTTATATAACTTGGAGGTATAATATATCAGCAAGAACAGAATTGTAAGATTTAGAAAGTTTTCTGTCATGACGTCGGTTCAGATTAACCATAATTTCATTTGGTCGTAAGAGGGCGTTTGTAGTTCGCCAGCCTAAAAGTCACGAAATTTGAAATGTTTTGTGGACAGTGATTCCATCAGTAATCCCCGACAATCGAGACAAGCCCAATGTTGTAAGTACTATAAAGCTGTTATTTGTATAAATCAATCTTTAATTGTTTGTATGAGGCCAAAAATGGCACAAGATATAAATCTAGTTTTCTGTAATTTTAAGATGAAAAGTACGTTAAAATGTTGTCTGTGCATATGTAGCACCACATATAGACAAACGTAGGATAACGTGTGTGAATGCACAATTTGTGCATATATCAGTTTGTGTTGAGGATAATCTAGATTTGTGTGTAGTGAGTGATGATAATTGACATGAAACAAGAGTATGAATTGTTTTCCTTGGTTATAAAGAATGTCAAGGGTGTAGAAGCAAATAGGAATTTAGTTCAGGAACCAAGTAAAGAGTGTAAGATAGAGGCAGGAAATAAGGCTGGTCGAGGGTTTATTTGTGTATGACGTTAACCTACAAGATAGAGAGGTATGATTTGTAAGGGTTATATTTGTAAACAAAGGTAGAATTTGAGACAGTTCATTAGAATAAGATAAATGAGGCAGTTATACAGTTTGTGTTTGCACAAGTGAGCTTTACTCACATAGTTTATTCTTGAAGGTTTTCTTTACTCAGTTATGCATATTAAGGTCATTTATGGCAAGCTAGTTGTGCGATACAATAGATGTTTGTTTATTCATGTGAATTTGTACACATGCTTATGATTGCTTGTTTGTTTTATTGATATTACAGATGAACTGCATTTTATGCACGTATCTCAACTTGGATGTCGTCCTTTCTTTAAGCCTACTGTTGGGGTCACTTCAGCAGAATTTAACGTCACACAAAGTTCATAACAGCTTTAGCATTCGTCACCATGAGTCAAGTAGGTGTTGATGATGTCAATCCAGAGGATTCTGCAAGTCAGGTTGGGAAGAGTTCCACCACGTCATCTGGACTTAGGACCAGGGCCAAGAGGGCTGCAATAGCAGCAGAATTAGCAGTTCTCCAGGAAGAACAAGAGATAGAACTCGAAGAAATACGCCTTAAGCAAAGGAAGGCTAAGTTACTCTTACGTGCCAAGCTCAGCGCAGCAGAGGCAGAAGAAGACGTGTATGAGCAACACAGGAGTGGCAGTAAGGTGTCGAGTATAGGGAATAGGAGTTCCAGTCAGCAGAATGTCAAGCAGGTGCATGAAAGTGCAGAGCATGCTACGGAACATCATCATCATGTCAGCAATCATGATGTCAAGGAACCTGCGCTCCTACAAGAGACTATTCCTTTTCCAGCTCAGCAAATGGCTTCATCTCCCATTTCAGGTCAAGCTTATCAACCACGAGACGACCGAGAATTTTATCTGCAGACCCAAGTTCAGCAACAACGATGGTTGGAAGCTATCAGTCTGGCTAATGTAGAGATGATGAAGTTTGATGGGAGTCCTTTGCACTTCCATGAATTTATGATGTCGTTCGACAACTTAATTGGTCGATCTTCACTCGATAGTGGGACAAAACTTATGAAGTTATATCATTGCTGTGAAGGAGAAGTTAAGGGCATCATACAGTGCTGTATGGTCATGGAACCACTGTATGGGTACCAACGAGCCAGAGAGCTGTTGGTGGAACGCTTTGGCAGCAAGTACAAGATAGGAGAAGCCTGGATCAAACGTATAACCACTGGTCCAATCTGCCATGCGAATGACCGGAAGGGGCTGCAGAAGTTTGCAGATGAGTTGAAGATCAGCATGGAAACTCTTCGAGCAATGGATCTACTGCAGGAAATTAGTAGCCAGAGAGAGTTGCTGAAGGTGGCTGAGAGACTTCCATATTACCTTAAAGGTAGATGGTTAAAGTTGGTGAGAGACATCAGACAGCAGGAGCGTTCTCCCGATATCTCGGACATGGCAAGGTTTGTCTCCAACGCTGCTGAGGAAGCCAATGATCCTGTCTTTGGAGATCTGACAGCAACAACAAAAAGAGTTGAAACTTCAAACCCAGCTTTCAACAAGAAGAGTACAAGAAGTAACTACATGTACGCTACAGAGGTAACAGAAGTAGCAGTCAACCTGAAGTGCCTGAAGTGTAGGCAAGAACATTCCTTGTTTGGGTGCGACAGTTTTAAATCCATGGCACCCGAGATGAGATTTCAGTTTGCTCAGGACAACAGACTGTGTTTCAACTGCCTGCAATCTGGCCACACCAGTAGGTTTTGCAGATTGAATAGAAGATGCTCAGTACAAGGATGCCAGAGAAAACACACAAAATTTCTCCATTTTGCACAGGATGCATCTTCATCTGCAGGAAGGATGACAACGACACAGGCTCCAGTTGAAACCCAGAACAACGAAGTCCATCAAGTCCAGAATGGGTTCGTTAAGAAGTGTGTCACAGGGGCCGGAAGGTGTGTGCTTCCCATTGTTCCAGTGAGGGTTAGAGCTCAAGGAGAGAATGTATTTGTGAATACATATGCACTGTTGGATTCTGGTTCAACCAGTACATTTTGTACAGCCACTTTGGCCAGAGAACTCAATGCTACTGGAAGGAAGCAAAGTTTAAGCCTGACAACACTGGAGAAGCGTAATAGCCCCATAGAGACCTCAGTGATTAGTCTGATTGCAGACACGGGACCAGATACAGACTGTGTGAAGCTACCCTGTGTGTATACCAGAGACGCCATTAATATCAGAGACACACACATTGCCAATGTGGATGACATTTCAGGATATCATCACTTAGAAGGAATCAACCTCCCGATCATTGAACGACATGAAGTTGGACTGTTGATAGGGCAGGATTCACCTGAAGCCTTGATACCTATCGAGGTGAGACGAGGACAGCATGGCCCTTATGCTGTTAGGACCAAATTGGGTTGGTCAGTGAG